GGTTAACTGTTTAAGGCAGATACGTTGGGTGACCGGGTCGCCAAGCAGTGACACAAGCATCTTACTGCAGCACTGGGCGGATTGACTCGCGGCTACGGTTTTCGCAGTCAAATGGTAGCTCTCATTTCTAGCGTTTGTTACGTTAAAGGCATTCGAAAAATAAATTTCGATCACTCTCCTGCAAGGATCGTTGCCGATGATGATTTAGGAAGCTCATAATGATGTGGAAACTACACATATATCCACCAACGGAGTCCCTATTAATTAAGGCATTCCACGAAAACCCCGTATTTTGCGAACGATGAATACTTTGAGACATTCGGACACCGGCAGTTTTTTGCATCCACTACCTATAATAGTCACAGTTAGCCCAATCAAACAGTCAAACTGACCAGTAAATGTCGAATGAGATATACACCAAAGCGCGGCGACACTGTGCGAATGATTTTTACCGACCGCAGTGAATTCTACTGGCTGATACAAGCTTTTTTCGCAAGGTAACCATCATCAAACGCCATCATTGTACAACAAAAGATGGTGAAACAAACTTCGCTAATTACTTTCAATTTTGAAACGCATGTGAATAAAATGCAGTAACGTGTTTTATTCTGAAGAGATAGTGAAACGCTGATAAGGTATTTCCTGCACCCATTTAGTAGCGCTAGTAACTCACTTGAGAAAGTAAACATACACGCGGCGAAAATGTGCGAACTATCGAACTAGACAAGGATACGAGGTAGATTTCAAGGAACTTTGGATAGGACAGTCAAACGCACAAACGAATAGCGCTTGTAGTCAGAAAAACGAGATGTCAGTGCTGAAACGACCAGATCCCGGACACTTGAAACAGATAACACATAGAACATAGCCAAGTGTGGTAGCTGGTTTAGTGCGACCCACTCATTGCCCAAGTGAGACGGAAATGGCACACCGATACACACAATAAGGAGTGAAATAAGTGTGATGAAAACTGGAGAACATATCCAAGCCGGAGTTGAGATAAAAAATCGATTAGTGCATTCGAAAATGTGTGATTTATGGTCCACACAATTGTCACTCTCGTAAAGTAGCCGGTGGAGCCTTCGAATTCGGTCGCGCTACACAGTTCTACTTCACAGACTTAAGTGTACACTTATTTTGATGCTCGTCGGTTGAGGAAAATTAGGCGCTGGGTTGTGAAATTTGATGGATAAGAGTTCACTTACCTTGAGCAAAACGGTATGCCACTCAACGCGTGCCTCCTCGGCAGACATGGCTGCTCGATAGTAATCGCAAAGAGCTAAGTAGCACGCTTCTTTGGTCTAAAACAGAAGACAGAATCAAATGGCATAAATCATTTAACACAGGATTTTAAGTAATCAAGCAAAGCCGG